AAGGAGTGTGAGAGGTCAAAGAGAGAAAGGTAGTGAAAAGAGGAGTGTGAGCTTTAGGCCAAGAGGATAACATGTGCAAAAGGTGTGGACATGAGGTATGAATGAACCCATCCTTGGGACCTGGGGAGGAGACAGAAGGTACAAACAAAGGAAAAAGCGAGTCCAGACATGAAGTTGAACTGGAAGGTTATGATCAGTCAAATCATAAATGGTGTGCTTTAGTATGTCTGAACTTTTTCCCAGGGCCAAAATGGAAATGTCCAGCAGATAACACATGCAAGATTGATTACATGTAGAGTCCAGGAAATGTGTGAAGAAGAGAGAAGTGGGCCTGGACACAAGGTGATCTGTCAAGCAGCTGCTGTAGTATCTTCCGGGTAAGGAATTACAGGTCTTAAATTAGAACAGCAGCATCCAGTATGCTGAGGAGGGATGGAGCTGCATGATAATTGGGGCACAGACTGATAAGCTTGTGGAAGATGGAGGAAAAGGAGTATGAATTCAGCTGTTAGTTTGGATGATACATGAATAATGATATCACCATGGATGCTGAGGACGAACTCTGAGGAATAGGTCTAGATGAGGAGACACTGCATGATACTCAGGAAGCAGAGGACTGGGCAGCCAGGAAGGTTTGATTATACTGGACCAGATCACGGGAGGCAGCTCTCACTAGGAAGAGCGCACCTACAGCTTGGGAAGGAGAAGACTTAAAAAAAAAAAAAAAAAAAAAATCTGCATCATCATGATAGAGGTAGTAGCTGAAACCCTGGGAAAGGATGAGAAAACAGCTGGTGATGAAACCCTTGCTAGACTATGACACTATTTAAGGGGTAAGTGAAATTATGGGACATCCACTCAACAGACTTGCCCATAGTCATTAAACATGATCATAATGAAGACCATGAGGCAATGTGGAAAAGTGCTTGACATGTTAAGTTAAAAAGATCAGGGAAGAAGACATACAATAACATGCACAAGTCTCTAAAATATTAAGCTATGTGAAAGAAGTCAGACACACAGAAATAGCATACCATATAAATTCTAGATTAGATAAAAACTAACCTCTAATGATAAAAATTAGATCAGTGTCTGCTTCTGGGAGCTGGCGGGGCCATTGGAGAATGGCATGAGGGAATTTGCTAGGGTGACAGAAATGTTCTAATGCCTGATAAGGTCGTAAGTTGTAGGAGTGTATATGTTTGTCAAAACTAATAGAACAATACGTGTTCCACTATAGGACAATTATACCTTAATTTAAAAAATCAGAGTACAAAGTTGTAAATACTCATATAAACGAAGAAAAGGGAACATACAAATATAAAAGTTGCATCAGGGTGGTAGAGCTATGGGCTGTTTTCTTCTTGTTTAAAAATTATCTTTAATTTTTATACATTGTACTTAAATAAAAGGAAACTTCAAAACCTCAAATGCCCATCAATATTTAACAATGGCCGGGCACAGTAGCTCCGCCTGTAATCCCAGCACTTTGGGAGGCCAAGGTGAGAGAACTGCCCAAGCCTGCAGGTTCGAGACCAGCTTGGGCAACACAGTGAGACCTCGACTCTACAATAAATCAAAAAAATTAGCTGGGTGTGGTAGCACACATCTGTAGTTCTGACTACTCGGAAAGCTGAGGCGGAAGGATCACAGGAGCCCAGCAGGTCAACACTGGGGTGGCCATGAGTGTGCCACTGCACTACAACTCAAAAAAAAAAAAATTATCAATTTTACATAAAAAGTAAAGTATATTATATATATTTTTCCATAGGGAGCAGGAGGGAATCTCTACAGTTGAGAACTTTTTAATATCTGAAGACAATAGGAAAACACAAGATACAGTAAACATATTAATGTGAAATATTAAGGAAATCAATGGAAGGAGGGTAACCTTGGTTTTGTTTTTTTTTGGGGGGGGTATTGGTTGTTTTTTGTTTTTTTTAAGAGTATTTACAGAAGCAAATGGTAAGTCATTCCATGATGAGGGTGTGGCTCAGACAGCAGAAATGCGCAGGCTGCACTTGAGGTAAGCTGGCTTAACCTGGAGGTAGAGGACACTGATCAGAACACGTGAGATGACGATGGGAAAGTCAGTCAATGGTGGGAACAATCAGAGGCTGTTAGATTTTGAAGGTTTTAGTGCTCCTGAGTTTATGAATTATCCTTTGCTAGGGTTTCACTGCTCCTGAGTTTATGAGTTGTCCTTTATTCTCTGTACTTCTTAGTAGTTTGGGTACCTTGTCTCAGTTTTCATAGAGAGGGTAAAGAAAAATTACCAACGGGAGAATGATGTCAATGACCCCCCACCCTCACTGCCACCCCTTCCTTATTTTGGAGAGAAAAGGCAGGGACTTTGCTGATGGTGGCAGCTCTCCTTTCTCAAGTTGCTGGGATGGGCTGGACACTGTGTCATTGCTTCACATTTATCACTACTGTTTAAGTTCCTCAACAACCCAGTAAAATGTATATTGACTTCATATCACCAATGAAGAAACTGTCAAAGAAGGTGGATAACTTCTAATTAGGAGTGGATGGACAAAATCCTAGACTACTGACTCCAGAATGTATTAAGAGAGAACTGATGAGGTCTCATTTCCATTTGACTCTGATGTGCCTGTCCTGATGGATTTTTAGTAATATTTAGTCTAATTACTATTCCATTCTGTAGTGTAGTTTATGGCCTCCCCAAAGGGCCACCATGGTTAATTACTGCACAGCTGTAAAGCTGCATCCCAATATCTATCATTTAACAGCAGTTAACATTTGACAATGTATCACCTCATGTCATCCTCACAACCACCCTTAAGACAGACAAAATGACTGCCATTTTTTTCTACAAAGGATGAAAATGAAACAGAAGAGATGTAAAGCCATTTGCCCTGGGTCACCCAGCGAACAGAGATTTGAACCCAGATAGTGTGGCAACTCGGTCCCAACCACTGGGCTCCACTGCCTCAAATGTCAAAACTGGGTTTTCAACTTTGCTGCGTAAACCCATCTTTTCCCACCCCCACTCACGCTAAAATTAACAACCCGACTGGTGACTTTGAGAGCATTCTTCCTCGACTGCTTTATCAGAAGGCTTTATAGGTTTCGCGTCCCTCCACTTACAGAACCAAAACCTTTCCCAAAATGTTGTATGCTGTTACTGGAGAGACTTTGCCCGATTCCACAGCAGCAGTGACACATGCCCTAAGAGGCCAGTATTGGGTGACTGGACAATCTGAACAGGCCAACCACCGCACCCTGACATGCTGGCAGCAGCAGAAAAAGCACGCCAGGGCACTCTCCTTATCACCAATGGAAAGATGACAGTGGGTACAAACTGTTACGGGTATTTCCTGTCAAATGGTGTGACTCACGGGAGGTGCTGAGTACCTGGGCCCCAGTTTAAATTGCTTAATTGCGCTGTCCACTAAACTGTAAAAAGAGGATGCCCAATTCAAGCAGAGTGAATGAGCACAGTGTTCCTTTCTCATTTCTGCCTTGATTTGGGAGAGAGGCTGAAATGTGAACTGCTAGGCAAACCACACCTTTGCCTCCACTGGGTCATAATGAACTCTGAAACACACACACAAAGGCCTCTTTTCTGATCTTTTAGCTCTATATCTGTTACAATATTTAAGGCACAGACACGAGCAAATTAGGTTGGTCATTTGGGTCATCAAAAGGGCAGCGGTCACGTAAAGTAATATGGCAGAAAGCCTTCAGAGTCCCCAAGAGCTGAACTGTCTCTCAGGCTCGCTTTCCTTGAACTATTTCACTAGTAATCTCAAGTCTTTAGGGTTCTGAAGTTTCATCTGTCTTAAAATCACTTTTCCATAGAGAGTCCTCCATGTCCACAGTCTCAGATAAGGTCAGGACTGATGTCTTGGCCAGGTATTAAGAATCTAGACAGCCAGGAGTTCGGTCTCACCTCTCACTGAGAGGTGGAAAGAAGCAGCAGAAAGTAAGTCTTGACCCTACATTCCTGTCCTTTGATTTTTTTGCCCTGGTGGAGATGGGGGTGGTAGAATCAAGAGTGCTCAAATTCAGCATATTGGACTGGCAGTGTTTAAACTCTGGTCTTGTCCAAGAGACAAACGGGCAGTTTCTCTCAGAACAGGATGAATACAATTTGATTCTCCAACTATTCCCTTTGCATTATTAATACACACACCTCAGCTGTGTGTATTTAAGTGGAGACTGTCGGCATGCACAGAAAACTGCAAAGGGCAAGGAAAACAGCCTTTGATGAACAACTCCAAACCTGGCTGAAGCTAAAGCAGAAAGCTGATTCTATTGGCGGAGGAGCCCAGGTCAGACAGGGGGACCCCACTCAGTCAGTTCACTCCAACATGGTAGTTGAGGTGGAAAAGGCAATGTTATCTCTATTCCATGTACCCCAAAGACTTATGGGAGAGGCAGGAGCTAAAACAGAATTCTGCTTGGAAACAGAGGTGGAAGGGCTGGGTGGTAGGTACTAGAGACACAGGGCTACTGGTGGAGGTGGGAGGTGACTCACTACCAAGTCCCATCCAAAGTATATTAGCATAGAATATGCCTTTTTCAGTCAGGCTACTCCAATAGGCGGATCCTTTTAATTTTATGCTCAGGAGTCACAGATCATCCCTTGGAAGTATAACGTGATTACTGTTATCAGAGGGGATTTTCTCACCACTGTCATCTGAAAAGTGGTTGAGGGGTAGAAATGATGGAATTATTTAACAGGAATTCACAAATTATGAAAATCATTCTGTCCCTCTCTTCAGCAAGAGAAATGTTTTGGTCATCAGAAGCTCTGCTAGGCTTAGTCAGATCAGTGCCAGGAATTCTGTGAACTGGAGGTCAAGCTGCCAAGATTCAAAAGAAATGTCGATAGTAAGTGTTTGCACGGATACCAAAGGGGAGAGCTAACAGCTCCCGGCATGCAACTCTAGACACAATACAGATAGGATAACCACATTTACCAGTTTCCCCTTGTCCCATAAAATTTAACAACAACAACAAAAAGCTCTTACCTAGCTCTCCCCGGAGGTTAACAAGTTCTTGAGACAGGGTTTTGTGTTGTTTCAGCACTTCCTCCCGCTGCGGAAAACACACATCAAGTTACTAACGTTTTCAAGAGGGTCCCTTTCAGTAAGGATACACATTTGTTATCACACGGAAAAACGAGACCCAGAATTGAGAAGCCAAGATGTGAATCATTTAGGCTAACAATTTGTGTTGTTAAGAAAACACAGTTGTCCCTCAGTTGTTAAGGAAATTTGTGTTTCGCAAATCTGTGTTTTCACAGGTCCTAGGGAAACTTTCCTTGAGGTAGTGAATGGCCCATTTAAAAATATTTACTTTGAGTCAATGCTTCACTGTTGATCCATAGAACCTTTCAGCTAATGCATACTGTACTTAAGACGCAATGCGTCCTCTTCCTCCAAGGGCAATAAAGACCTAATCAGTTTAAGATAAATATTTAATGTTCTAAACATAGGCACTCATATGCACTTTGTCCTATATTTGCAAATAAAAAAGTTTCCTTACAAGGCCAATCCTTTACTTCTAAAAGAAAGACAAAAAGTTCGTTATAAAACTACAGCAAAAAGATAATCCTTGAAAGACAAAATGAAATCCATTTTATTCAGCTACACGCTATTTCCTAAAGATAATGATCTTTGGGATCAGCTATAAGAGATGTTAGAGAAACAAACCAAAGAAAACCAGGCAGCTGTTGCGGTATTAGAAAAGCAATGATCAACCTTGCAGTGAAGAAGAATTTTCAAGTTACCAGCGACTCATAGCAAGCACACATACACACATACTTACACAGATACAGTAATTTGATATGGTTCTTTAAAAGGTAGATTCCCTAGCACCGGGGCGTAACTAAGGAAAACGAAGAATTTCAAAGCTCTCTGAAAATACTCTCACTAGGATTACCCAAGACGGAGCTCCCACCGCATCTTGATCACGGTATTGCAGAGATCATGAGACCGGCCTTTGCAGCAAGAGTTGCTTGTCATTCAAGGCATTTTCCCCTAATTCCAGACAACCTCTGCAGTAGTCCCTGACAGCCTTCCAGAAAAGCACTATAAACAAATACTCATTACCCTTGTTCCTGCACATGGAGAATAGAGGCACATTTTGCTGCTGGAGCAGCCCATTTTCCAGCTTCTGTCTCCAACTCCCCCCGCCCCCTGCACTGTCCGAGAAGCGCACAGGTGGCCACGCCACCCACCAGTCAGTCCATCTACACTCAAAGCTCAGCCAGGAGGCGTGCCATTGGCCCTGCGGGCAGACTCGCTTCGCCCTGCAGGTTACCGTATGCCTCAGACTCCTCTCTCCCTCAGAAGCTGATACTGCAGCTTCTTCTGCCTTTGGCACAAGCAGCCTGCGATCACTTAAAGACACAGCCCTTCATTTATGAAAAACGAGAGCCAGACATTAGACTGATCGATTGCCACTTAGTTAAATATCATCTGGAACGCAGGAAAGAAAAACGGACCCTTTCTGCATGGATAATGGAGTTATTTTTGGATTTGTGAGCCTTTTTACTCCTCTCTCTAATTGAGGTCATAAGATGATCACACTAATAGAAAAGGGAAACTTGTTCTTTAAAACCCATATAACTAAATGAGGTTATGAACTAGGTGAAGGGCAATGAAAGGGGGTGTGTTGTGACTTAGAATTTTAAGCAATGCTATATAAAGCAAATGGTGTTTCTCTCAAAATTTAATTTGAATGTTTAGAACAAGGTCCATGGGTGTTTTATAAAAAGGCTGAAGTGCTGATTTGAAAGTTGGAGATTACATGTATTTTTAACTTTTACTTTGTACTTGTCTCTTAGTAAAATCTAAGGAAGTGAACTAAACACTAGCACTGACATGCTAGTGCTAGTCAATCAATAGCAACTGTGATTTAACAAACATGGTTCACTGAGTACCTGTTGGCCTCAGTGGTATCCTAAACACTTGATTTTTTGAAATGTGGTATTAAGTTGTTCTTAAATCACCAGTAAGTGTGTCTAAGTTTTAAAAATTATTATGTAACTGGCTTTCTAATGTAGAAATTAAAGTTTGAGGAAAATCAGTCTGAATAATAATGGAAGCAAAAAAGATACACATAACATATACTTCTCTTAGTCTCATACATTTAAGTTTTACTTTCGTCTGTTTAGTAATCTATTTCAGGTAAATATCAGCAAGTTTTGTCATTCAAGTGACAGGAAAACCAGAAGACAGCTGAACTAAATGCCTATAAGCAATCCTGAAACACATTTGTTGAATTTGCTTAAAGTTTGCTTTTCATTAATAGCCAAGTTGTTAATAGAAGGAAGAGAGACAAGAAAACTAAATCACTTTTCAAATGTATGGCAACTTAAAGAGAAGATGAAAAACCTAAAAATTCAGTTAGAACAATTTTGAAGAATAATTTGGTGAAAATTGTTGTGCTCTATCTCAAATATTTGCCAAGTGATATTTTTGCTTGTTAAAAGCGGTTTTCAAGACAGGGAGTTTCAGTCCACATGAGGACATTTCCCTAACCCCACCGCTCTCCGCCTTCCTGTCCCCAGTGCCTCAGAAGCCACTGACATTTTCCAACCTCTGTCAATCACAACAGCAGCAACAGGAAGACCCTGAGGTCATCTTTCACTCTTTGGCTAAAGGGGCTGTGCAAAAGTCAACCAGCTCTTCCTCCACAATATCTTGAATCCACCGCACTTTTGCTATTAGTGTTACCTCCACTCTAGTCCTGATCCTCACCAACCCATTCCTGGACTATCGCAAGGATCTCTTCACCTTTCAGAGGGCTGTTAGTTTATTATTCCATACTCTTTGTACATATAAATCCCCTTGCTCAAAAAGAGCCTCTCATTGAGTGCATTAAAAATAACCCATTTCACCATCGTTTCGTGGACCTGAATCATCTGCTCCTGTTTATAGACTCCTCCCAATCTCTCTTCTGTCCAAGTTGCATGTGCTATGCATATCTCACCTCCACAACTTGTCAACGCCACCCTCTCTGGAATGCCTGGCTCTCTTTACTGACCCACCATATAAACCTTCTGGGAATGCTAAATTGTCAGTCACAGGCACTACCCTCCCTCCCTCAAATGCTAAGAAAGAACATTTATCCTTCTGAATCAGTTGCCAAGTTATTACTCAGTACCAATTATAACAAAGCATTTTATGCTGTAAAAATACTAAAGAAATTTAAGACATGGCCCCTGCCTTCAAGGAGCTAGGGACCTAGGTGTAACTAAAACATCTAGGCCCAATTCTCTGGTCATTTATCAAGGCAGATGACCTCATCAGAGGGGAAGCAGTTCGGGATAATGGAATAACCAAGGACTTTAAATACGACCTTATGTGAAATGCCGACCACAGTGCCCATACCATAAAAGACACACCCTAAGTGTTAACTTCTGCCTGATTCTCCCTGGTAGCTTGGCCATTAAATGTACTTCCCCTTTACTTGTAGATGACAGACTACATTACGTCTCTTAGATACTGATTTACTGTTTCTTTTTATTCAGCTGCTCCTAGATCACCGTTTGTCTTAGATGATAAACTCTTAACAGTCCAGATAACAAGTTTATTCAATTCTCTTTGCATTTGTAACATGTAGAATTCCATGCAATATAAACAAAGAGAAAGGTGGGAATCTGGATAGAAACATGCTTTTATGCTCATGCATTAAATATACGAAGTGCTCCAAGAAAAGAAATGGATTCTCCATAATTGAATCAGGAGACCCTGGGACACAGGCACTTAATTGCTGGCTGTGGTCCCACCAGTGTGCCTGCGTTTTGCTTGCTACTGAATGGCATCAACAGCACAGGAGATCTTGCAGAAAAGAGCTGCAGCAGACGGCTCAGACGTGTGCTGTGTCTGAGCACTCCCCCATCACCCACACAGTGAATGTGCTCAGTGTGTTCACTTCTTTTGTTCTGAGACACATTTTACTTACAGTAGACTGCTAGTGTCATTCGAAATTCACTTTTGTTTACTTTAGGTTAGAATCTATTTGCAAAAAAGAATTGGAGACACTCTGAAGAGTTAGTCACAGGTATGTGTGGGAGTGACTGAGGTTCAAGCTGTCAAGCTTACCTAGAAACCCAGTTTACCTTCCTGTTCAAGCTTACCTAGAAACCCAGTCATACACTCTTTTATGAAGGAACTAAGATTACTAGCCAGGCATGGTGGCACACACCTGTAGTTCCAGCTACTTAGAAGGCTGAGGCAGGAAGATTGCTTGAGCCCAGGAGTTTGTCCAGCCTGGGCAACATAGTGAAACCCCATCTCAAAAAAAAAAAAAAAAAGAAAAAAGAATAGAAAAGAAAGTGGAATTACTACTATCAATATTGTGTTCACTTTGGCTATCTATGTAGAATACTGTCCAACTATGTGAGGATAAGCCAACAATTAGTAAAAAACTGAAACTAATATTAGTATGTTCTTTGTGACAGAGTGTGACATTAGCTTCCAGATTTGTGAGACATTCATTCATGAGAACTTCCGCTATGTAATGAAATCTGTCTGCCGTTAATGTAGGAAAGTCATACTTATTAGACTTGCAACAAAAGGATAAGTGATATTTCCAAGATTCCCTATAATCAATCATTTTTACCCATAATCAAATGCTCCAAAACCATTTAGGAATGGTTAGCAATAACAAGATGTATGTATACAAAGACATAATATGTATATTATACATATATAAAATGCATATACACACAACATATATGTATAGATATACACATATACACACATACATACACACAGTATATTACTTCTGTTATGGGTGTGAGAGAACTAAAGGGTTAAGGAAAATTTTTAAATTACTTAACTTTCCTCCGGTTATATCTTTCCTTTCCAAAATTTTATAACAGTACACTGTACAAATTAGGCAACCAGTAAACATTTGCTGATTGGCTACAAAACAGAAAAAACAAAGGACATTTACAGAAAGACTTGCTGTTCATCTTACATTCATCCTCTCCATTCATTTGTTCATTCACATATGCACTGTATGTTTCTTATGGCTTCTGGGAAGGTATCATAGGAAAGAACTAGATGCAGAACCTGCCCTCAGTCAACTTTCTATCTTAAAAAGCAAAGACAAGTATTAGATGGATACCTCTAATATAAAGTAGAGAATGAGAGAGAAGTATCTGTGTTCCTGGAATCCAAAAGATGGACAGAACATAGATACAGAAGATCCAAGAAAGTCTTCATGAAAGAGGACATTTTGGAGCTGCATTCAGCAGAGTCAAAATTTTATAAATATTAGGTCCTAAATTTAGGTGTAAGGTAACATTCACACACAGTATATAAGTGTCTTGGAAACTCACTAAGAGTTTGCTGTGTCATCGACTGACAAAGGGTGTCTCTGGATACCCAACCCAGTGAAATTTTCCTCTAGTAATGGATCTACTCTTTCTTCAACTGAGCATCTGATAAAGGACTTGGCTTTTTGTTTAGGGGCCAGGTTATACAGGGGAGAAGTATCTTTAAACATTAGGATTGCACAGAGTACATAATGTTCATGCCACAAGAGGTGAATAGAGATTTGAGCAGACACCTGAAGGAAGATCAGACTTCTGTTCTTCCTCTCGAATCTATTCTGGGTCCTTCACTCATTGGAGGGCATGAAAGGTGGGACTGGCTTCTTTATTTAATTTGCATTTTTCTTACTTTCATTGTTTGTGTACTGAATCTATGTAAATTAAATGCAGATGGTGATGTGATGTTGTAAAACGGATCTGAACCCAGAGGTGTTAGGGGCAAGGGCAGTGAACCAGTTATGGTATTTGAACAAACGATGAAGTACACCTATAAAAGTTTGTAGGACATTTTGACTTCACAGTGTCCCAGACCTGAGTTTAAGTCCTGGTTGTCCTCTTGCTAGCTATCTGATAAAAGGCAAGTTACTTAACAACCCCATGCCTCAATTTTCTTATTTGTGAATTCCAACTAATTGTGTTTTTGGTGAGGATTTAATAAGGTAAATAAAACTATCTGGCAATTAATAAATATCCAACAAATGTTAAATCTCTCTTGCTTCTTCATCTCTATAAACAGCTGGAGGATCTGGGCAGTGACTGTAACATTGAAAAAGGATGTTGGTACCAAATTATAGAGAGTCTTATAATCCAAGTTATAAACTAGAGACATCAAAAAATATATATATAGTGAGTCAGGTATGTATTTTAAAGTTCCTAGTAGCCACATTGAAAAGAGAAATTTTTATTAAGTGATACACTTTGTACAACCATCCTGGAGTCTATTGGTTGCTTATATTTATCTCTTGATTCAAGTTCTGCCCTTTGGAGAAATACTGAACAAGTCTTTTATTCTTTGTGTGACAGCCCTCTGAGTATTGGAAGTTGTTTGTTGTGTTTTCAGGTTAAAACACCTCTTCCCCTTAGTTCATTTATTCTGCATTTATTCAATAAATATTTAACTAAATTCTTAAAAATAAAAAAAGAAAAATTTTAATAATATATTGTATTTAACCCAAAATAAACAAAGCATCATTTCAATGTAGTCAATATTAAAATTGTTAATGAGATATTTTACATCCTTTGTTTTCATTTTAAGTTTTTGAAATCCAATAACCTCATTAGACTAGTGGCTATCATGCTGGACAGATCAGCTGTATATAATGGAGAACCACTGGGGGCTTTAATCAGCAGAATGAAATGCTTTGGGAAGATAAAGGTGTTAGCAATGCTTGGGATGGATTATAGGGGAGAACGAGTGCAAGCCTAAATACTGATTAAAAAGTTGTTGTCATAGTCTAGTGGCAGCTATCCAGGGTCTGAACAAGGATGGCATTAACAGGAATAGCAAAGATGGACAAAGGGGAAAACCTCTGTGGGATGAGGGTTGATAGGACTTGATGGCTGATGTCATGAGGAAGATAAAGGAGAGAAAATAACTGAAAATGGGCTGTCAGAAAAGATATAGTAAAACAAAATAATTGGTTTATCTCTAAATTTTAAAAAATTAATTGTTCCTTACATTTGATATTATATGGTTTCCAATTTAGTTTGCTTGGTTATATAAACTATCTCTTAAGTTCCTTCCTTACATATTAAAGGGAAGCCAAAATATGATTTTAAATACTACTAGTAATTAAAAAACAAGGTAAATGTCTCCACCTACCCTTCAAAAAAATATATGGACAAAACTGTAAAGTATTCATCTGAACTATCTATTCTCCTGGAAGCTCCTCAAAGGCATAGACCAAGTCTCACCCACCTCTGTCTCCACCTCCCTAAATAAGCAACTACATCCCAGGGGCCTCTGTATGAAATCAGTATGGGTTTGTCAGATTGAACTGAACTACAAAACAACCAAACTATTCTTCCTTTGAGGTGTCATGTTCATATACATCGATCTTTAAAGCTGTGATTAAAAAATTCCTAAAGAGCTCAGGTTATATTTTCATCCCAGTATTCCCCTTGGATAATTATAGTTTTTGTTGTGATGTCAGGAGCATACATTCATATAAACTTGGTTTTCTCAATGAATTTTAATCAGTTCCTGAATGACATCCTTGTAGAATACCAAGGAAGAGTAAGTGAATAAAGAAGATCTGCTTGGCTTTTTGTTGTGCCACAGATTATATTATAAATGGGTGGAAATTTTAGAAAGGTCCCCAGATATAATTCTGGCAGTTTCCTCAAAAAGTTCTTGAACCCATACTTACAATTGACCTTACATTTTAAAGCATTAGACTAAGTGTGATACAGAAAGCTATATATAGTTAAGACAAAAAAAATTAAGTTAAAAAAAGTTAATGCTAATTTAGGTCTAGAGACATATAGCAATACAACAGGTAATCATCTTCCTGCTGTTGTCATTCTAACCAAGAGACTCTGGGGGAGGAAAAAAGTAAGAAAATGCTTCCATCCCAAATTCCTAGAGACTGACTCGGGTCTCAAGTGAGTCGACAAGAGCATAACTGGATGAATTATTCCTGAGCTTCCCAATCATTAACTCAAAGAAATTCCCAAGACAGGCATGTGTGCACTGTTCCCCTGTGTTCTCCCACCTCGGTGAGGAAAACTATCTGGAAGGTACACAGCCTTACCTCAGAGAGCAGGTGCTGGATCACAACTGTCAGTGCTTCAAACTTGGTATTGCCACAGGAAAGAAGCTGCTTGAGCTGCAGGATAAATCCACTTTGGTTTTCAAATTTTGCTTTATATTGAGCCAATTCAAGTGTTTTTTCAGAGGACAGCACATCTGGAGACGTCTGTGTCTGGATACATAAACTCCTGGGATTCTTTTGCCTGCCCTTTTCAACTGCAAGAGGAATTAACATAGGCAGAAAAATATGTGATGTTAATTTTTATAATCACCACCACATGGGTTCAAAAACAACTAGATAAGCCACAGAAACACATTTAAGTTATGTTTATATAAGGAATGCATATGGATGAGAACTGGAATTAATCAGAGATCTAGATGTTTGGAATTCATAAACACAGACAATGGCTTCAGTTCTGACTTTAAAAGATTTACATGGAGCAGAGAATTAGGAACATGAAACAAATAGATTTGGCAACCTAAAAACATAAAAATTGTGTGCAAAATGATGTCAATTTCATAATCTCTAATTTTCCAGCTGAATAGATAGAGAAACCTTACAACTAACTAGAACTGTGACTGACGAGAACCCTGACTATGCTGATCACTAATACTGTAAGAAAATCACAAACGGTTGGTCTTTAAGTGCCTTTCTCTCCTCCTATACATTTTCCACAAACCTCTCATCCTTTCCCTGATGATGGCCTGATCATTACAAAGATTTATGCCACACATGAGTCATTTCCTAATCCAGTAAATCATCACATACACTTAAAAGGTACTCACATTTTGCCCCATATCTTTAAGTTCACTGTTAAGAGTACTATACACTTGACTATACATTCAATTTTCTTTCAAACAAGCTTTGCCAGTATTTTTCCCAAGTAATAATAATTACTTCAATATTTTAAAAAGCATATGCTAATACCCCAAATCCATCTAAGATGCATGCTAAGTGATTCACTTCCTATGCCATGGTGTCCTGGGAATTGCTCTATTTTAAATAAGAAACTGTTCAGCTTTGGAGGCATTCCAAATGTGTCAGTCACTTTAAATACCAAACAGAATTGAAAAAACAGGAAACAAACTGTTTAGCTTCTTGAAATAAACAGGTTAAATAATAACAAATCTAAAATGAGAAACAAACAAACAAAAAGTTTCTTTATTCTAACAGGCTTTTGCTATGGCATCCACATCCAAGACAATATTTTAAGCAATTAGTAATTTCTCTAATTTCTCAGAAAGAGGAAAACTACTACAGTGACTGCTTAAAGAACAATAAACAAAGTCTCAGTATTCATATTCCAAGAACCAATGGCAAAATATATTCAATATGCTCTAAGTTAAAAAACAGAAAAAAGGATCATATTCGTATTAATACTTGACAATTACTAGTTCTAAAATGACTAAAATATTCATTGTGTTTTCACAATACTTGAAAAGAGGGGAAAAACATGTATCCGTTATTCTTTATTACTAGCAGTTATTTAATAGTGGCTTATCAATAATTGTCACTTCCATAGTAGATGGAGAAAATAACCAAGTTAATATTGTCATAAGGTTAAAGTCCTGAATAAAGAACAAATATTATCCAGTCATTTACTATCTTATGAAAAATAAATATTTGGCAACTTGTCATATATCTGAGATTAGTGTTTCTTTATGACATTGCCTAAAAGTTCTTATGTGACAACATAACATATAATAATTACATAGTGCTTTACTGTTCAGTGTTCTCACTTTTCCTCTCTTTTGATCCTCCCAATAGCCCTAGATAAGGAAGATGAGACTCTTGGATGTGAAATAGCTTCCCTGGGTGTAGACGGCTTCTACAGGATGGATTCAAAGTCAGAACCCAGGCCTCTGACTCAAGGTCTCTGCTGCTCCCACACATTTGGAAAGTAGATTGGGTGGAGATGTAATATATTACATAAATAAAATATTTATGCAATAAACTTAACAAAATGCTTATATTCAAGCATTTGAGTCCATTATCTGGTAACTCATTTTGATAAGTCTACATATAAACATTCATGTGTTATATAATTTTAATAAAAACAAACAGAACAAAAATATCTTTTAAATTTTTTGCCCATCTAGAATGGACTGCAACATATATAAACATGAATAAGTTCATTCTCCTGACAGACATCATTGCTGTATGTCCTACCAATAATTACTTAAAAATTCACTTTTTGATAATTGCTTTATCATTTCCTGAGTTCTTAATAACATCTGATTCTTTTTCTAGAATTTCCATGCTAACCAATTTTTTTTTTTTTTTTTTTTTGAGTTGGAGTCTCACTCTGTTGCACAGGCTGGAGTGCAGTGGCACGCTCATGGCCACCCCAGCGTTGACCTGCTGGGCTCCGGCGAGCCTTCCACCTCAGCCTTCCAAGTAGCCGCAACTGCAGGCACGAGCTACTATGCCCAGCTAATTTTTTTTACTTATTGTAGACCCGAGGTCTTGCCAAGTCACTGGTCTTGAACCTGCAGGCTCAGCAATCCATTCGCCTCGGCCTCCCAAAATGCTGGGATTACAAGCTAAGCCACCAAGCTCAGCCCTTATTTTTTTAACACAATAGAATTTTTAAACTGTCAGGTTATAATTATTTATAAAACCGAAGAGGTTAATCTTTTATATTAATATTTTTGGAGAAAATATTCTTTAAGTTTTTTTATTCTTTTGCTTATAAGTATATAACAAAAATATCAGAAAAAATATATGAGTACTAACAATGTTTACTTTTTCAGGGAAGGGAATAGGAAGCAGATAGCTATAGGAATCCTAAAGCATTTTTTATACTTTTTGATCACGGAGTAAACATATTACTTATTCAAAAATTAAATATAAAACTAAAAATTAAATAAAGTTACTTTTAAAAGATACTTAAAATGAATTTTGAGCGCATAAATCTTTAGTGCACACCTAGCCATCAAGAAAACAGTCAACCTATCTAGAATTTTTCCTTGGGAAACCTAGACAGGAAACGATTACACAGGTTTTGTTAATGACTACTCAGAACAGATTTACAACTAAGAAAAGAATACACTGATGCATTCTTCTAGGAGTACACGCTTTCAAATTTTAAAATAAGAGCAAATAGGCAAACAGACTGCTTTCCACCTGGAGTAGGAAAAGCATGTTGTGACCTCAGTCTTCCGCTCCACATACTGAGCACCCTAAGGACAAAATCATAACACATGGCAGCCAGTGACCCAGTTTGCATATCCTTCCCTCTCTCCTCACTCCCAGCTCAACTGAAGATCACAAACGATGCAAAAATTCCCAATTATGCTAAAATCCCCAAGGCTCATAAATACACTTTATAACATTCTTTCTCTTAAATTCTGCAGGATTCATTATTTACATGAAATTAGCATAATATGAGCCCAAACTTGCCCTTACATCCTATTTATCAGCATGTTACTATTTTGGTTATGCAGTTGTATTTAAAGGTATAAAACACTGTGTTTATTATATCTATTAACAGGACATGTTCTGATTTCAAAGGATCAATTTAATCAGAAAACTTAAAATTAATGTTAACTTCTATATCAATTCAGATTTCTCTCAACAAGATAATTGCCCCGGTCAGCCTGATCTAGTCTTACAGAGGTTCATTCTAACAAAACCGAAACCTCCATCGGGAAAACAAAATCCTGAACCAAAGATATTTGCTCACTTGAAAAACAGCTGGATAACACTTTTTGATATCTTTGTTCTTTTTTCTCAGAAACCTCAACTTATTAAAATGTAAGGCTAGCCCAATGAACTCATTTATCATCTTCTTAAAGAAAGTAGTTTGGTAAGGAGGACTAGTTCCATTTTTCAGGCTCAAGTCACAGGCATACAGATCCCCAGCTCGAGACCAAAAACAATTTTTAAGAGAAAGGCTTAACCATCAAGACACAGACTAACCATCATTACATACTAGTAGCTGAGGACACATTCGTTCTAAGGTCAAACAAGCCACACATTTACTGAATCTGCTGGTTTTCCAAATTATTAGAATCAGATTAGAGACAAGACTACTAAGAGACCTTGCTTGGGCTCCGTGAAACACAAAACTACACACAATTCAGTAACTAATGTTGTCTAGTTTTTTGTGTATTCATTGACCTACTCATCAAATATTTATCAAAGTTTACTGTGATAGCACTGTTGATGTGCAGGTGAACCTGCCCTGGCACCTTGGGGGGTGGGGGAGGCATTACATAAAGGGGATGGTATTGCTCTAGGATGCACGAAGACCCCAAAGATCTCTGCTGACTCGTGTTTACCTAGTGTTCATCTCTTCCTGTTCCACACTCAAATATCAACCTCTTTGTATAAAGGTAACAGACACTGGGTGATGTGTGCTTTCCACTACATGTTGCACTAAAAACTAACGTGTGTGGGTTAATAAAATGTAGGTAATGAACTCAGGGGCTGATGAGAGGTCTCTGAGTCTCTGCTAGCAGCTTATTTCCCCTATATCTAAACAGACATATCTAAAAGCCCTAATAGGGACATCTATATAAAAGTTCTTTCAGTTCGTATTTCCTCAGCATTTGACGACAAGAGTTTTTCCTGGGATATTTCACAAAAATAAAACATGAACATTGGAATTATTGGGAAATACATTTTTCAATAAGAGGGAGTATCCAGATAAGAAATGGTCACCGAACAACCACTGCTCATTCAGTGAACGTATATAGGATGGCTTCCTAACAAACTGGCTCTCAAGCAACTTTGTAAAGCAGAGACAAAAATATGCCATATACAATGGCAACATGATTTGAAAATTGGATACTAGAACTATATATACAGTATGGTAGAGGTACAGGCAGAGAAACATCTAGATCTGGGGTAGTCAAGAAAGGTTCCCAAAGGCAGAGTTTGATACATTTGCACATCTGGCAGAAAGTTAAGGAGGAAGGGCACTGTAGACAGGTCAAGCCAGCAAACACCAAGGCAGAGAGGTACAAGAGCCCTGGATGCCCTGCTATCACAACACAGTCAGTGCTGCCGAAGCCGAAGTAAAATGAGGCGGCTGGAAATACACAGGGGCAAGAACATGGGTATTGTGCAAGGTTTTATCTTGTTGGAGGCAGAGAACTAACTATGCCCCTGGAGGCACTGGGCGGGAAGCTGGGAAGGGGCAAGACCGAAGCAGAGGGGCCAGGAAGGAGGCCCAGGAAGAAAACCTCCTGGGTCAGGGTCAGTGAGACCA